CCGGTTCCCGCTCACTGGCTGAGCGCGGTGCGGGCGCAACACCGAGGGTTGCTATCCCATTACCGGTCAGTAAAAAAGACAAAAAAGGAAAAAAAAAAAAAAAAAAACAATAGATTTTCACTTATGAATAAAGGAAAGAACAATTTAAATGAAAAATGGCACAGTTCAAAAGATACCATGATGGTTTTTTAAATATTATATTTTAAATAATAATATGGAGATAATGGAGATATTAATATTCATCTTCATTTCTAAATGAACAAGAAAATCTCCAGAAAAAGGGAATTGACTATGGCCTACAGGAATAAATGACAGTACATTGATAGAGACCTGAAACCTGAATGTTTTATTGTAAGAAATACCTTTACTTTGACCCAGTTAATAAAGGAGCTTAAAATATGACAAGAATTCTTCACTTCCCTTTTTGCAGTAAAGGAATACAGTCATAAAAACAGAAAACAAAGGAGGGAGGGGGAAAGTTAAATATTTGGGGGAAATATGGGGGTGACAATTAAATATAAATGCAGGTTTACTTTGCTTTTATATAGTGGTTGTTTTATTGCTTTTATAAGCAATATATAAGGGAGCTAGTAAAAACTGGTAGAAATTTTTGGCAATTTTTGTTCTTAATTACTAGGCAATGCTTCCATGTTAGAAAAAATAAGTTCCTCTTATAGCTCTAAATTAATAAACCCATTTTATTTAATAATCATTTCATGTTATAGACTACAAGGCTGCATTTCATTTTAACTGATGGCAATAGACAAGTACTAGTATAAAATAGGATTTGTGTATATCTTAGAAGGGTATAAAGTGATATAATAATCACTATTAATGACTTTCACTTTTAAAAAAGAATTTTAAAGAAATTCATTTCTATCAAACTTATGAGGACTCCTTCACAACCCAAAGAAGTTCAATTTTACTCAAATTTTTAACAGATGAGTTACTAAAAGAAAATGTATACTATAAATTAAACTGTTTTTAACAAGTTCCAAATATACTTATTATTAAATATAAAGATGTTGGCTCTTGTACATAAGAAAATATTTACAACTAATAAAAAGTAGATTGTAGAAATACATGTTCTGTGTATAAAAATAAGAAAAATGTTTTATAGTCCAGACCGAGGGATCTTTTCTAAGCCAGGTTTTGTCCATGCAGCTCTGTTACAATACCATCTCATTAGCATTACAGGAACACATACATGCACGGAAGAAATGTAACAGTCATCTTGATTTAAAGCTCATATTGCCTTTTTAGGGCCTGTACATCTTCTAAAGTAAAATGGTGGTTTTGTATGTTTGAAAGGTCATCAAATAACTGTCCAATTTGCTCCTTTTGTCCCTTGCTAATTAGTGTCAACATCATCTGAAAGAAGGAAAAAAATTATATTAGCATAAAAAAATTAACGTTTTAAAGTTACAGAAACCCTAAAAAAAATCAATCTCTATTAATAAAATATATTGCCACTTACCTTAAACCTTTCTGCTTTACTCAGATATAAGAGATGTTGATATACCAATGAGGGATCTTTATCAATAAGATTATTTTTCAGAGACTGAATGAGGAGGAGAAATGTATCTCCTTCAAGTTTGTTACTCAACAACATTGGCAAATCTTTTGGTGCAGTGATGGCTAAAAGGTGTGCACAGGCTTCTTTGTCTTTTCTAGTATTGATAGCATTTATAACCTGACCGAATTCATAGGCATTATTAGGCTTGGAGATCTGAAGTTTTTCAGAGTGTTCTTGTGGCCCATTGCTTTCATCTCCCTTCTCAGAATCAAGGCAGTCAGTGGAGACGTCCTCTGAGGTTCTTTCAGGCTCTTCACTGCCTCCATACACCTTCATGAAAAAAAGATTGTACTGTGACAATGAACGGCAGTCACCACACACATCCTAAGTTACATTTGTCAAAATGGGAACTGAAAACTGCAAGTAGACAGTATTTTATCAAGTTCTAAGTGAAAAATATGTAATTTATAATAAACTGTAAAATCTATAATATTTTTTAGGAAAAGAACTTTTAGGGTATAAGAATCCAATTCATGGGCGGGCTGATTAACTCAGTTGGTTGGAGCATGCTGCTGATAACACCAAGGTCAAGAGTTCAGATCTCCAAACTGGCCAGCCACCCAGGAAAAAAAAAAAGAATCCAATTAATAAAAGATTAACAAAAGTATTACGTTCTAAAAACTATTTTTACACTGAAAATACAACAAAACTTTATTTTTAGATCTTTCCATGAATAAAACTGTTGTATTAAAAAAGGCCTGTAACAATTCTGTCTTTTTCATGATAAATTTCACGTTTACCTTAACAGAGAAGTGAACGTATATTTTTCACTTCTTTTAAAAGTTTTTTCTTTCTTCCTTAAAGGGAAAAAACTTTCTAGCTTCTCTCACATATTTTCCTCTTATTCTTAGTGGAAATATAAGACTGTAAATGGGATATTAGCATTCATGAGTGTACAGGAATTCACGGCCTGACATTCTTCACTAAAGGCAAAGCAAAACATTTCAGTTATCTAAAAGCAAAAAGGCAGATTTGATTCTGATGTCGTCCAAGATCTCTGATGATGCAGTCTTAATTTTAATTCAGTGTGCTTAAAAGGTCTGAGTCAATACGGAAAATCTCCATGGGTGTGGCTTGCAAGGCCCCTGAAACTGAATCAGTCCTGTCAGGATTCTCCAGGTCTACCCTGATGCAAAGCTCAATGGCCATAGGTTCCCAATACCCTCTGCAGTGGAAGCAGACAAATCTCAGGCCAAATGGAGGGCAGGCAAAGAAGGTAAGAACTTTAGTAATGCAGTGACCCCCGAAACCATCTATGAACCCATGTTGGGAAATACAATGTCTAATGATGTAGCAAAGACTAAAGTCTTTATAACTGGTTAAAATCTTTTCATTGATTATTAGGATAAAAATGCAAAATTAAGAAATTTTTGTAGAACTCATAGGAATATGACCTTAGAATCCCATATAAGATCCCCAAAAGAGTACTTTAAAAGATAATCAAATGCAAATACCTCCTGAATCTCAATTTTCCTTCTCTCCTTTTCTTTGTTCCATGGTGCTGTATTATCCTTAATATTAAGGAATTTGGTTACCTCTTCCAGTTCCATCTTTGCCTCAACAATACTTGGGTCTAATAGGAGAACTTTATTGAGATCAGTTAAGCTTTCCTGATAATTCTGAAAATAGGAAGACAGAGAACTTAATTTTCATAAATAAAAGAAGTGGCTCGATTAGCCTGAGTGAGAGTGATGGAGCGAGTTGTGCAGTGTGTGCAGGAGTTCCCATTGTATCACCCTTATAGAGTGGGCTATAGGGCAAGTCTGCAGCTAAAATAGTATAACTCATAACACAGAACATCTACTAGAGAAGAGCACAGAATACAGAGTTAGAAAACCCAAGCTCAATTCTATATCAACACAGCCTTCCCAGTCCTTAACACATGGTAGGTACTTGTCTGCTAATGGAATAAATGAAAGAATGAACATCCTCATTTCAGCACCTACTAACAGTGAAACTTAAACATGATCCTACTTTACCTCTCTGAGCTGCAGCTTTCTTTTTTTTTTTTTGGGTGGCTAGCTGGTAAGGGGATCCAAACCCCATGAGCTTGGTGTTACAAAGCTGCATTCTAATCAACTGAGCTAACTGGACAGTCCTAGTTTTCTCATCTTCAAAATACGGATAGCAAAAGCTCTATTCTAATTTTTGCAAAGCAGTACCAAGGAATAAATGAATAAATAAAATATGAATGGTTTAAACCTATAATGGGCTATACAAATGGTAGTTAACATGCCCTTGTTCTATGAAATCTTTCAAAGTTATTTACTGTTCAAAATAGGCTGGAGTCAACATTTAAATTCCATAAGAGTCAGACAATACACTGGAGAGGCTGAGGGGGAAAAAACAGAATCTAAGATTATTAAGACATGGTCACTGAATCTAGTAGCAGAGACAGATGCCACAAAACTACAGTCTGCTGTCACAGGCCATGATCTAGAACTATAGACTAGACTTATATTTTGATTAAACCAAATTGTGAGGATTCCAAGAATTGCAATGATGTGTAACCTCTCTAAGTATTCATGACACATTGATGACAGCATGCACTGGAGGCTGAGCCACAGGTAAGCTAAGATAGTGCTTATGTGACCTTCCTGGGGGACTAGCTGTGATGTCACATCACTTCCCCTTCCCCCCAGCAACACACCAGAGCAAAAGTGATGTGTTTAAAGGGATAACCTTAAATCTGCTCTAATTTATAAAAAGGTAAATTACTTACAAACTATAGTACATTATATACTATTAGCAACAAATTTCCACATACCACTGTGTTACAATGGCACAGTTGGAATCTACTAGAAAAAAATGACATTGTATTTAAATGTTCGGTGTTCTAGGCGAGTGACTATACATGAAAGGCAAGGGAGTGGGCTGGGAGGACAGTCGTCCGGGGGATGGATTCCAGGACATCCAGCGGATATCAAAACCTTAGATGCTCAAGTCCCTGATATAAAATGATGTATATTTATTTATAACCTATGCACATCCTCCTGTATATTTTTTTAATTATTTATATTTCTCCTGTATACTTCAAGTCTTCTCTAGATTTCCTTATAATACAATGGAAATGCTATGTAGATAGTTGCTATACTCTATTGTTTAAGGAATTATGACAAGAAAAAAGTCTACATATTCAGTACAGATGCAATTTTTTTCCTCAAGTATTTTTGATCCTCATTGGTTGAATCCATAGATACAGAGGGCAGACTATTACTTTACTCTCACAATAGCCCTATAAATATTAACTTCGATTGTTCCCATTTTTAAAATGAGGAAACTGAGACATAAAGAAATAATCTTTGGGATGATCACGGCAGCAATGACCAGAAGGTGGATGATAATTCACTGTGGAGCTCAGGTTATGCTGAAGGAAAGAAGCCAAAGAGTAGAGTACATTATATATGATTATATTTATGGTAATGTTAAAAAAATTAATCTATAGTGATAGAAACTAGGTGAATGGTTGCCTGGGGGTAGGGTTGGAGGGTGGGAGATTGATTGCAAAGGGGCCCAGGAAACCTTCTGGAGAGATAGTAATGTTCTTTATCTTGACTGGGATGGTGGCTACAAGGAATATACATTTATGGGAAGTCAATGACCTGAACATTTAGAATGTGTGAATTCCATTGTATTAGACCTAAATAAAATTGACTTTTAAAAAATACCATTTCAGGAAATGCCATTTTCCAATTCTTGTTGGTTTTTCCTTGTGATGTTATTTTCTACATATACGAACATTCATTCATCAAGATTTCTATGCAGAATAATCTGCATAAAGAAAGTGTAATTATACAATACCTATTTCTTCTAAATTAATGGTGTGGTCTTCTTAGAGAAGAATTCTATAGTCTCACACTGACTGTCAGACGGCTTAAGGACCAGATCACTCTATGCTTCCAAATCTCTGACATAACTTCCATTCTGTATGTCTTCCACTTCCATTCTGATATGTTTCTACCCATCTTCCCTTCTGATGCCTTCCCCTACCCTACCTGCAACCCAATCCTTGCTGGAGGAAGCAGTGGCACTGACAGTGGCTTGCAGCAAGTCAGTAACAAACCTTCCTGTCCCTTAAGGTGAACCTATTATCACTAACAATACTGCTTAGAAACTTAGAGAATAAATCAAAATTGAGGGGCTAGAAAGAATTTTAGAAATTATCTAGCTCCTTGTTACAGCTGGGGTGAAATCTAAGGCCTATTTCCAGGTTTTAGGATTAGTTAGTATAGTACCAGGATTCAGTCCCAGGATTACATCACTCCCATTCCACAATCCTGAGATTTGTGTTCATGAAAACCACTTGTTTTGTTTGGAGCTGCAATTTACATATTAAAAGGAAGATTTCCTCACCTTGAGTCCTTTATGAGCGAGAGCTCGTCTGTAGCACGCTTTCACATTCCCGTTATCTATACGAAGTGCCTGGTCACAATCCTGCTTTGCCTCTTCAAACTGACACAACTTCAAGTAGCAGAGTGCTCTGGCATGAAGTAATGGAACTCAGTATTAGGAAAGGTAAACATAACACATCTGTAAATTTAGGCAGCTAATAAAAACCAGAAAATAGCTCAATAAGTCTCTTTCTATACCACAGCTGTTTCAATTGAAACTTAACATTTAACTCCAAAAATGGTACTCTCTTGCAGTGCATGAAATTATGGCACTGGGGATACAGCTGCAAACAAAATACAGTCCCAGCCCTCAAGGAAGATGCAGTCTAGAGGACGAGAAAGACAATTAAGCAAGCAATAAAATCTGTACAGGATGCTCTGGGAATAAAGAGCTGAGAACCACCTCACATCTGGTGGGGCCGAGCAGTCAGGGAAGACTTCCGGGAAGAGGTGACATTTAAGTTGAAACCCAGAGTATGAAATGAAAAGAATCCAATGCCAAGGCATTGGGTTGAAAGAGTTAAGATGGAGATAGGGGACAGTGGAGGCCAAGCACACAGCATGTGCACAGACCTACAATGGGAGAGGACATGGTGCTCTTCATGAATTCAGAAAAGTTCCATATGGCTGAAGTGCAGGGATGAGGCTGGAAGAGTAGGCAGGCCAGATCAGGAAGGGCCTTGTAAATCATGGCAAGAAAAGTAGAGCTTTACCCTGAGCTTAATAGAAGTCTGCTAAAGGATTTTTAATAGAGGCTGACATGTTCACCCTGTTTTAGAAAGATCACTCTAGCAGCAAGTTGGAGAATGAGACAAGAGGGAACAAGCCTGTTCAAGGACACACCATGGAGCATGTTGCATACATTGATAAGACAGCAGTGGCCCAGAGCAGGGGAGTGATGGTGGGCAGAAAGGGTCATGCTGAAGAGGTATTTAGAAGGTAGGACCATGCGAGCTTGCTGACTAATTGGAAGAGGGAGGTCAGGGAAAGGGAGGCATTTGCCAGGGATGACAACTGGCCGAGTGCAGAAGGGAGTGGAGTGTTCAGGTCTGGAGCTCAGAAGACAAGAGATTTGGGAGACATAATTGTAAGGTGGTAAATGGAGCTGTAGAGAGGATGAAATGGCCCTGAGAGGATGTAGAGTGAAAAAGGGATCTAAACCTCCAGAATCCCAAGAATACCAGGGAAAGAAAAGCCAGCAGAAGGAGAAGAGAAGAAATGCAATGAGCTGTCTGCCACTGCAGCCAAGGGAAGATGGGGGTGTCCTGGAAAACTGAGTAGCCAGTGATGCCCAATCCTACAGAGGCTGAGCAGGGAAAGGACAGAAAGTGATCTGTTGGACTTAGTGATACTATTTTTGGTAAAAAGGTTACTAGTAGAGAAAAACAGGTATGAAAACATAGTAAGAGATTAAGAATTTATCTGAAATAACTAGAAAAATGTGTGTTGAGTCCCTCTTTAGGGACCTATCCCTTATTCCTCCTGTCACTCCAGACTCTACTCACTCCCCCAAAATTCCCAAATCACCATATTCTAGACAGGTATCTTTACCACATGTGGTAAAGAGGGCACCCAAACAGCATTCTAGAACAATCTGCCCATCCTAACTGCACTCTATAAAAAAAAAAGATACTGGTCTCTTCTCTCAGCTCTTTGGGAAAAAAAGGGGCATTGCTCCATAAGCCACTAGTTTGAAAAGCCATCGATGCCCATTTCTCCCATGCTGGACCATGCCCAGGCTCAACTCACTGCAGCAAGGCCAGATGGCCAGGAAAGGCCGAATCAGACCAGCACCACGCAAAGTGGCAAGGATGACACGGCCCATATCAGACCTCCTATCCTTCCCACACCCCACGTTTCCAGTCTCTCCAGAACTCCTATGGCCCCAACTCTTTCAGAAACACTCACTTAGGACAGTTTGCTATATAAAGTCCTAGAACCTGACAAAAAGCTTTGGCAATCAATTAATTTTACTAATAAAATAATTTAACATTAAAAATAACTTGCTTTTAATAATCAAAACCATTAACATAAGAAATATATAATGTTACAATGAACTTGCCTGTTTGTATATATGGCACATTCCTTGTTGTTAATCTTTAAGCATTCAGTGTATTTACTAAGGGCATCTTTATAGTTTTTGCCCTTTACACATTGATTTCCTTCTTCCTTAAGGGCTTTAAACATTTTTTCATCTATGGGACCCAAAAAAAAAAAAGGAAGTACAAGTATTCACATAAACACCTCTACATAATCTTAAGCAATAAATCTAAAAATCTTCTGATAGATGTATGGAATTTATGATATAAACTTGGAATGTAAATGATAATCTTATTTGTCCCTCTGCACAAATTGCATAAAATATTAGCTAATTTTTTATCTTTTATTTCAAGTCACAGAATATTTATGCCTACGTTTCATGTTTCAAAAGATCTCACACAATGGGGTCAAATGATACTTCCCCTGAATCCTGGTCTATAAACAGTAAAATAGAATAGACCCCTCCCCTCGATTTGCCAGAAAACTTTCCTCAAATGTTTATCCTCCAATATTTTTAAACCTTTGGTAGGTGTCCATTCTCACTTACTGTCAGTAAACACATATTAACAGAAAAATTCAGAAAGAGCTGATTACACCTGTGCTTATGATTTGCTGCTACAGTTATATATGCAATTTGTTAATAATAAACAGCTCACCTCTACTGAGCAATTGCTTTGTGTCAGGCCCCATTAATAACGGACTCTAAAAAACTAGAGACTCCATGCTTTTCCTAGGAGTGCTAAATCATCTAAAAGCTTTGACAGATGTTCCTTGTCTGTTCTTTCTGGCAAAAACAGTAAGTGTCCCACACTAGCCATTTGAACATATATATATATGTTGTTGTGGAGTTTTATTTTATTTTAAAGACATCATCTTAGTCCTTTTGCCTCATCATATATATGGGCTCTATATAGAGAGAGAGACGTCATATATATATATATATGGTCTACTAGAGAGCTATATGCTACTTAATTCTTTTTCTTCCTAATAATAATGCTGACTTAACCTTTATTGAGAAGTTACTATAAGTCAGCACATGTGCTAAGTATTTATATACATATCTACATTTATGAGAACCACCTCATGTAATAGTTATCTCTCTGCTTTACTGTGAATTTTATGCACATGGCTCAAGATAACCTTCAGAAGAAATGAGTGCAGGCTTCCCACACCTGTGATGCCCAGCTGGTGATGGCTGTTGGAATCTCCTGCTTGGTCTTGGATCATCTCTGCTGCAGGACACCAAGCTCGCAGTGGCGCAGAAGTGGGCACAGTAGGAATGGGTGAGAGCTTCTCCCGCCAGTTTGGTCCATCCAGCTCCATTAAAATTCTTGTTATTCTAAAGAGAAAATGAGTGTTCTCTATTGACCATGCAATTTGCTTTTTATATTACTGAAGTTCAGATCAAGAGTAAGATTTACAAATGCTATCTATGCATGTGTATAGTTCCTTGTAGAAAAAACACAATTTTAGCTATTTTCTGTCCACATAAACTGTTTCCAAAAGGACTTTTTAAAGTTGCCGTAAACGATGTAACTTGAGAGCATTTTTTAATTAAAAGAAAAAAAATAGACATTTTTAATTTGTTAGAAAAAGTTTAATGCATATACAGTGAAATTTAAATTTTTGAGAAAATGAAATACAGAACTAAAATTTAGGGGACCTAGAAGAAATGGCCCCATAATATTAAGTGCAATTACTAAATTGATAATGTGTTCCTCTTGAGAATAATCAGATGTACTTTAGAATTTCTATGCCCAAACTGTACACTGAGGTGGCTGCAGACAGGTGTACAAAAATGCTAAAACTGATGAGGACTACCTGTAATGTGGAATATTGCTTTTCCTAAAAACATTTACATGTACTTAAGATACTCTTTCTTACCTTGTATTTTTTTCATCTCTAAAATTATCCACTTTCCTTTACATATGAATAATGACGAAAAAACAGGATACTGAAGTCTGCTACCAGGGCCTTTATATTAATGAGATTTACCGATGGCCATCATAAAATTCAGATAGACATCCTCGATCATCACTTTCTTATTATTTTTAGGACATACAAAATGTTATACTTAGATTTAAAGTTGAATTATGTCTTTAGGGTCAATCTGGTTAAAAAAAGGTACTTCACAAGGCAAAGAAGATATACTGGTAATTAGTAAAATACATTCAAGTTAGTTAATTCAGTATGTCTCATGTACTTTTTTGTGTAAAAATTTTTATATTTATATGTAGACAAATATACATACTTTCCCTACAGTTTCTTAAACTGAAATTTCAGTAGCAATCTTTGGTTATGATAAATAAATTTCATGTTTTAGTGTAAAAAAATAAATTTGAAAATTAATGTATAACCACCCATAATTGCAGAAGAGAAAGAAGCTTTAGAAAAAAGAATTTTCAAGCAAAACTTGTATTACCAGCAGAGAGGAAGGAAGAAGCAGCTGAAAAGAGATGATGTGTTGCCAGGGAGTAAATAAGTATATGCAGGGAAATTTAACATGTAAGATTCCTGGAGGGGAAGAGAGGAATATGGTTAATGGACAACAGAAACAAAATACTGATGTTTAAATTAAGAAAAATAGTAAGATGCTGTTTAATTTTCTATAACAAACTGGAATAAATGGAAAAGCAAGCATAAATATGGATTCACAAAAAGGAATAGCGAGGTTTTTAAAATGGATATTTTATATTTAAAAAAACATATGGCAAAACCAGACAAAGCTGCCTCATCTTCTTATAAAGCAATATATCAATAAGAACTATTTAATTAAAAAATGACTTAAGTCTTAAAAGTCAACTGGTATAGAAGAACCTTCTTGAGTACATGTAAGAAATATAATTCAAACAGTTAAACATAGGACTACCATATGACCTAGTAATTCCAGTGAAAACAGATACGCGAACAAAAACGTACCCGTGAATGTTCACAGCAGCACTATTCACAACATCCAAAAGGTGGAAACAACCCAAATGTCCATCAGTTGATGAATGGACAAACAAGAGGTGATGTACACATACACATAATGGAATATTATTCAGCCATAAAATGAAATAAAGTACTGACACATGCTACACCATGGACGGACCTTGAAAGCATTATGCTAAGTGAACAAAGCCAAACACAAAATGTCACATATTCTATGACTCTATTTTTATGAAATATCCAAAATAGATAAATCCACAGACAGAAAGCAGACTGGCGGTGCCAGGGGACAGGGGAAGGAGAACAGGGAGTGACTGCTTAATGGTCACAGAGTTTCCTTTCAGGGTGATGAAAATGTTTTGACACTGGAAAGAAACGATGGTTGCACAACACTGTGAGTGCACTAAATGCCACTTTAAAGTAGTTAATTTTATGTTATGTGAATTTTACCTCAATTTTTAAAAAAAGTATAATAAGTTCAGAAATGTGAGTAATCACGGTGTAATCATGGTCTCTCAGACACACTTCTCCCTTCAAACTACTCAGCCTACTGCTAATATATATTTCCTACAATACCTTTTCATCAGCCTCTCCTCTCTGTCAGATACTTCGGGTGTCTTCTCTGTGAGAAGAACCTACTTTATCCAACTGTATTTGAAAACTACCAGGCAGAGGACGAGGCATATTGAAAGCAAAGCCCCGAAGCACAGGAGTGAACTATGCTTTCTGCTGGAGAATGCACTCATTCAGCACATTGCTTTCCTCCGTCCTGCACACGGATCAACACATTTTTATTGAGGGTTTCTACTGTACAAGGTACTGCAGCTACAAAGATGGATAGAACACAATTCCTGACTTCAAGGACCTCCAAGTAGAGAGACAGGAAAAGAATTTTACAAAAAGAGAGAGATGGAGAATGTAAAAACAATATGGAAAAAGTTGGGTAATAGAAGAAGGCACCATGTTATTGGGGCACTGAGAAAGAGAACCTAAGGTGTGTGTATGGGGTGGGGAGAGATGGTGGATCAGTGCAAGTTGTTTCCTAGAGGAAGCAAGTTCTCTCCTAAAGGATGAGAAGGAGTTAAGCAGACAAAAAGGGGGAAGGGCCTGCAGGCATATGTAGGGAGGCAGCGGTTGACATGCAGAGAGGCAGCTGTGCAGCACCAGGTAAGACTACTTGATTTTATAAGCTCAAGATCAAGGAGTCTATAGTTGCCTGGAGGTTCAGTCTCATCCCACTCTGCCACAAATAGCCAATATTTTTCCCTTTCTTTTAGTCAGGCTGGGATCAGACAGGTTCCCTGTGATCACCAAGTGGAAGCTACAGGGAATGGCTGTTGGCTCTGCATGCAGCTCTTGCCAATACTTTTCTCCAAAATGGACTGGGACCACGAGGGAAGAGAAGGCAAGATTTAAAAAATGAATTAATGTGAAACATGCCATTCTCACTTTCTACAATTTTGCTCAAGGTCTCGTCACATTCTATCAGCACCTTCAGGGCTGGCCCGTTAGCGCAGTTGGTTAGAGCATGGTGTTACAACACCAAGGTAAAGGGTTTGGATCCCCACACTTGCCAGTCACCAAAAAAAAAAAAAAAAAAAAAAAAAAAAAAAAAAAATCAGCACCCTTCAAATACCACCTCAAGTGCTCTCTCTGCAACAACCATAGCCCACACAGACAAAGGTAGCCCGACCTCTCCATGTTCCACCCCTACCTTACTGTGTAACGAATTTTCCCACCTAGGGATAATCTGTCTTACGTTAAATTTTCCTCCTAGCTATATCCTAGTTTGCTTAAAGGCAGAGACCATATCATTTTTTTTTCTCCTCTTGTCTTTTATGGGGGGACAAGGGCATGGTACACTAGACCAGCACAGAGTACAGTGTAACACATAAATATTTGAGAAGTTATTCTTTGGGCAAATGGGATCAGAAAATATTATATATAGCTAGAAATGTTATCCAACTAGTAATTTTCAAACTTCACCTGAAAGCAATTTCAGAAGTCTAGAAATTCTTACCTTCCCATTCTCACTCGGGGAGAGTAGCTTCTAATGTAAATTAGATCCAAATTATTTGCTATTTCACCATTATAAATTAATACTCATCCTAGATGACTGTTTACTGACAAGGATATATAACACAAATATCTAGCAGGCTCATAAAGACATTATTTCTCCTGAGGAGAAACAACAGGTATGTTTCCACTGACAGATGTGGTGCCAGTGAACATCTGCAAATCCTGTGGGAGCAGAGGATTCAACAAGACAGTTTTCACTACAGTTCTGGATCTTGTCCTATAGTAATACTAATTTACGACATCAACGAAAACACTTTCCCAACACCACAGATATTTTAGCAGCACACATAAGCTATGTACGCTGTGTTATTAAAAAGAAAACATTCCCTGAACAGTAACAAATGAACCAGGAAACAAATATAAAGGTATTAGAGGACAACTTAAATCGTATTAAGGGATAGCTAGAAATAAAGTTAGAGAGAGAGAACCATTCAGTTTAATGGAGTGAAAGGCAATCATTTATAAAGGCAATCATTTATGTAAGGTAAATAACAGAACATGTCTTTGCTTTGACATCTTTCTTAAAGGGCGGAAAGAGAAAAAATCTAATTCCATTAAAAAATAACTGGGTCTGGTAGCTGCCTCAGGTTAGATTACCTGTTAACACCATCGTTTGCTAGCTGGATTCCACAGTCTATTTGCAATACTGTTTTATAGTCCACATAAGCTTTCCCATACTGCTCTAAGGTTTCATAGGCCATTGCTCGTCGCAGAAGAGGCTTCATTGAGAATGGGTGAAGTTCCAGAGCCCTAAAGAAGACACAAATATTAGATATCATCTATTTTGAAAATTACTCTAATTTATAGTTAACTAAATATATACTGCAATACTGGACTCAAATATTACATATCTGATATTTCATCTTGGGGATCAGACAACATACCAGAAAGGCAAACCCAGAGTAGCCGAACAGTTAAGTTAGTGGTCACTTCCTTCTAACCCTGTACCAAAGTGCTCTGGCATTTACTCTTCCCCCACTGAGGAGTGAGCTCCCTGGCGGCCTGCCTCAGCCTCCCCAACGCCCTACCAGAGTCCAGCAGGTTGCTAAGGCAGAGCAGGGTTTCAACAGATTCTTATTATTGACAGATTAAAAGGAAAATTCTTATTTGAACCCATGTATTTAATAAGGCACCTACTATAGAACCACAAATACTTGTATTACATTTAAAAACTCAGCTCTCTAAAACTTACTACAATTCATTATGATTTACTTGCTGCAAAAGGGCTTCAAAAATAGACCACCAAAGATGTATTTCAAGGTTCTGTTACTTGATTTTGTTTGAAGTAAATGTTTAAAGCAACTTCAGTATTTAATGTACTTCATTGTACTCTGAAATAAAACATAAAATCAATTGTATTTATGAATGAAAACTATTGTACTCTTGGTTCTGACAAAATTAACTGAAGCTGTAAAGAAGTCCTCCATGCAGAGATCCTACGAAGGGACTTTCTTTTCTTTTCTTTTCTTTTTTTTTTTTGTCTTTTTTCCGTGTCCGGCAACGGATCGCAACCCTCAGTGTTGCCCCCGTACTGGACCGGGGACCGGCAACGGGATTGCAAACCTCGGTGTTGCTCCCGCGCCTTGCTCAGCCAGTGAGCGGGAACCGGTCTGTATGTGGGATCCGAACCCTCGGGCAGGAGCGCCGCTGCGCTTCCCAAGCGGCACACTATCCAGTGCGCCACCGGGCCGGCCCAGGGACTTTCTATATAATCTATTAACCAGAATCTGCAGCAGACTGTCCACATTGGAGGTGCACGTTTGTTCTTTTTGTTAACTCTTATGCTATAAGCAGTATATAAAAATTAAGGGCTGGCTGGTTACTCGGTTAGAGAGTGGTGTTATAATACCAAGGTCAAGGGTTCAGATTCCTGTACTGGCCAGCTGTCAAAAAAAAAAAAAAAAGTTAATTTGACTCGGGGAAAGCAAGAGCGAGGGCTGCTTTAACATTTTTTCCCCAATAGTCTTAGAAATCTGCTGTCTACTCCTGCCTACAATGATTTGGCAAGGAGGAAGCATTGATAGAATATCTGCTATGTGCTAGTCACTGTAGACTCTCATCTAATCTCGCAACAAACCTGCAAGGTAAATTCTAATATGTTTATTATTCAGGTGAGGAAATTAAGAGACATGCAGAAATGTGCTCACATGTCAGTTCTTCTAAATGTGAGCTTCATGAAGGCAGGCGCGTTGCCTGCCCTTAGCACCACTGTACTCCCAGCCCTAGATCAACACCCGGGCTGTGAGAGGCCCTCAGCAAACACCACCTGAGGAGCCCTTAGATCTGGCACTCTTACTACCACAAACACACACTAAACCACCGCAAGAGAAGGAAACCCGAGTTATCTACCTTCACAATTCTCCACATCATACAGATACTCAACTGCACATGTGGGAGCCCTTCTGGGCTTTGTACCATGGAAATTATTCTAGAGATTCTGTTAAACCTAATTGGCTTCATTTCTCTGACAAATAACCAATTTCATTCTGAGTGGGTGTTAACATTGAGTGATTTTAACAATCATCTTTGTGTTGTGATGGTTTTTTTAAGTTTGCCATAATAGGAATGTATTACTTTTATAATCAGTAAAACTTATCTAAAAAATAAAATTAAAATCAGATAAAAATACTTAAAACACTAGATGATAGATCCCCGGGCATCAGGATCTGTGACCTGTACCACTGCGTTAAATCTAGCTTACTTTCATGCATAGGGGATATTAAACTACTCGGACAGAGATTGTAAATGTGTCCCTTTCACAACCACATGACTACCTCCACTTCACAGCAGACTTCCAACAACCAAGGTGCTATTCTCCAATCAAGATGGCACAGAGCCAAGCGAGGGATCTAAAATTGATGAGATAAATTTAATTTTTAGCACCTTCTAGCCTAGTAAATGCAATCTTTAACCACAATCCAGAAAATGAATATGAGCTTATGAATGGAAATTCCATTAAGGAAAAAGCACAACCATTCATAAAAACGAACAAGCAAAGAGATATTTTAACCAGAGCTTACAAAAGAGGCTGTCTATTCACTTAACACAGTTAAGCGTCTTCTAATTTCAAGTCTCCTTGAGAGTAGCAAAGATAAGCCAAGGCAGAAAATTACTACGTAACATTCATTTATATTTAGTTTGTCAAATTCTCGTCAGTGGAAAGGCACCAAAAGATCTTTGATGTGCCCAAAATTTTCCCTGACAGATGGGAAAAGTGAAGATTTTCTGAAAGCTGATAAGCAATTATAAGAATAAAAAGTAATTTCTACAATAATACTTTCAGACTTTTGCTTAGGCATCATAACCCTTTTTCACGTATTATCCGAGGCCTGAAATACAAGGGGTCTTCAAAAAGTTCATACAAAATGTGTACTATGAAAAAACTACACATGGATTTCAAAATGTTTTTGTACCAAAATAAACTTGTACTAACTTGTTATAATATATCTGAATTGGACCTAGTTTGAGGAACTAAGAAGGATAAAGTGGTCTGAAAAGAGCCTCTATCAGAGCAACATGAATTATGCTAAAATTGAAGCAAGAAAAAATATCGAATTTATGGTGAAGCTTGGGTGGAAGAATGGTGAAATCACTGATGCTTTACAAAAAGTTTACGGGGAGAACACATCAAAGAAATCAGTTTACAAATGGATGACTCGTAAGAAAGGATGAGACAATGTTGAAGATGAAGCCCATGGCAGCAGACCACCCACATAAATTTATGAGGAAATAATTCATCTTGTTTGTGCCCTAATTAAAGAGGACTGATGATTAACAGAAGAAACAACAGCCACACCATAGGCCTCTCAATTGGTTCAGCTTACACAATTCTGACTGAAAAATTATAATTGAGCAAACTTTCCACTCAATGGGAGCCAAAACTGTTGCCCAGATCAGTTGCAGACAAGAGCAGAGCTTTCAATGGAAATTTTAGACAAGTGGATCAAGATCCTGAAACATTTTTTCAAAGAATTGCAGCAGGAGACGAAATGTGACTTTACCAGTATGATCCCGAAGACAAAGTACAATCAAGGGCATGGCTACCAAGAGGTGGAAGTGGTTCAGTCAAAGCAAAAGCACACAGGTCAAGAGCAAACGTCATGGCAACAGTTTTTTGGGATGCTCAAGGCATTTTGCATATTGACTTTCTGGGGGACCAAAAAACAACAACATTTGCTTATTACTATAATGCCTTCAGAAAGTTAGCCAAAGCTTAGTATAAAAATGCTCAAGAAAGCTTCACCAGGGCCGGCCCAGTGGCGCACTGGAGAGTGCACCACTTGGGAGTGTGGCGGCGCTCCCGCCAAGGGTTCGGATCCCATGTGGAGACCGGTTCCCACTCACTGGCTGAGCGTGGTGCGGGCGCAACACCGAGGGTTGCGATCCCGTTACCAGTCAGTAAAAAAGACCAAAAAAAAAAGGAAAAAAAAAAAAAAAGCTTCACCAGACAGTCCTTCACAAGGAAAATGCTCCTGCTCATTCCTCTCATCAAATAAGGTCAATTTTGCAAGAGCTTCAGTGGGAAATCACTGGGTATCTACCTTACAGTCCTGATTTGGTTCCTCCTGATTTCTTTTTATTTCCTAATCTTAAAAAGTCTTTAAAGGGCATCCATTTTTCTTTAGTTAATATAAAAGATTGCATTGACATGGTTAAATTCCCAGGACTCTGAGTTCTTTAGGGATGGCTAGTATCATGGCTTACAAACAGTGTCTTGAATTTGTAGCTTATGTTAAGAAACAAAGTTTATGTTTTTTATTTTTACTTTTTAATTCCATTTTTCCACAAACTTTTTGAAGTCCCCTTGTAGAAATATGGAAATGCTGTGGTGAGGAGAGGGCTGGGCCTGGAGCCCTATGAGGTCCTCAATTATCCCTTAAACTCCCAATACTGATTCTCCAAACATACCCCTGGGAAATTCCTATGCTCCTCAGAATCTAGACATTTAAAATCAAATGGTAGTGTTTCTCCAAAATAGGTTAGTCTCTATGGAGGTCAGCACTGATCAGCAGAGCTGGATTCCTTGGCCTGGAACATAGCTCCTGTCTAAGGACACCCTACCTAAACTGACACCTCCCTCCCTCCCCGACAGGCCATCTCTTGCTCTCTCCCATGACATGCCCCTGTTCTAGTCTCCCTGGACACCATGGCTGGAGTCCCATCTTTGACTTCCTCTTGGGTCTACACTGAAACACAGTGAATTTTAGGCAGTAAACATCTGCCTCCTTAAAAGATCTCATCAAAGGACAAAGTGAATCCACTGCTTTGCAGCAGCCCTAACTATAGGAGTTCCAAATTTTAACTAGAGTCCTGACCTCGCTCACTGTAAGAAGGCCTAAGACAAGTCTGAAAGGGAATATATTAGAAATAGATACTCGAGCTGAAAGGATGTTACCTGCAAATCACAACATGCCTGGTATCCAACAAATTCTGGTCTTGTTGGTTAGTTATGAGCAGTGGTAAAAATGTTCAACAACTGGCTCTCTGGGAAAAGAAAAAAGTAAAAAAGCCCAGATTTGTGGCATTTGCCAGTTTTCACGGTATTAGTACTACCACTATGGCAGATTTCAAGTTACCAACTTGACATCAACCAGCTCACAAAATCCCGAAAATATAATAACTCATGTGAGCCAGCACAACCATGGATGGGGTCTAAAGTCAGGCCAAAGAGAATATAAATATTATTTACTTTTTATTTGAATATGTAAAGTTGGCAAAAAAATCCAAGTGCCTCAGGCTTTCTTCTTAAACTGCGGGCACAGATACTGACAAGATTTACCTATACTGATAAACTGATACTGCCAATGAAAAAAATAATAAATTGTTCACCTTATAAACATAGTGTCCACATAACTTATTGTCCAAACTAGGGCTTCTGAGAGTGGACAGGGGTGATATAAACGATTTATATGAGACAACAGGAGTAAACCAGAACTGTATTAGTCAAACCAGGACATGACTTCTTATTTTTTTAGACACACTAATAGTAGCTTCTTGCCAAAGGGCTTCTGAAGCAGGCTTATTACTTATTGGTAAAAGAGAACAATATGTTTTATTCGTGTAAATATATTCCTCCATCCCAGCAGGTAACCTATTCAGTACCATGGGTTACTCCCGTGCTTCAAGGGGTACAGAGCTCTATCAGACTCCTGTTCTCAAGGAGTTTAAATCCACTGCAGTGGATGACATAAGACCTGCAGGTGTGCCCAAGTGTCAGTGCAGGGCTTACAGACCTACAGATAACCAGGGAGCCTGAGGCAACCAGGAAGGCAGAGAGGACAGGCAGCTGAGCAGGGATTTCAGAAGCAAAAATGGACAGAGGGCACTACCAACACTGGGGACACCACAGGCAAAAGCCCAGAGAACAGGGTGGACATTGTAAGGAAGTGGTCCACTGGAGAGGACCAGTGGGAGAGGGAAGCTTGTTTGGGGGGCAATGTGGTGACAGAGAAGTTTATGATTATCTGGAAAACAATACTGAGCCTAAAGACCTGTTTGAAACAATCCGGACAAAATAATGCTTCAGGAAAAGTTATTCTGATGCCACAGTGGACCGGAACTAGTAATTAGGCTTCTCCAGCTGTCTGGGAGTGATGTGAAAAGAGCATGAATTAGGGTGGTGGCACTGGAAATGAAAAAAGTTTGCACAATCTTCTGTAACTGTCTTCATCCGTGTAAGAGAGAATTTATGATTTTTACATACTAATCAATTAACATACCTTAAAACTATCTGAAGAAATTAGACCGTTACACAAAAAATTGGGTAGGATATTAATTAAACATTGCATTTATCACATTGAAATGATAACAATCTCTTGACAAACCTGAAAACATGCTGTTTACCTGTTACAATCTTCAATGCAGCCACTGCAGTTTCCTTCTTTTAGGTAACACGCTGCTCTATTTGAATATAAGATACTTAGATCATCTGCACTCTCACTTCCTAAAATCACATTTAATAATTACAGTTAAAATCCATTAGCAAAATCACAGTTACGAATTAAAAGACAACTGAGGTCTCCACTGGCACTGCAGTCCTACAGACTGCTGATCATGCAGAGCTCCCAGGAGCCGTCTATGTCCGCAATGGCCACAGAGGGAAAGCCCACAGGGACAGATGCCAACGTGCCCGGCCGGGCACATGCTCCTCATTCCATGGTATTGCTCACATAGGTCAAGTCGCACACCGCCCTTAGTCACCAGGAAGGAATGCCCAGATGCAAGCGCCCATCACTCGGGAGGCGGCCTGCGCCTCTCCCGGGGACCCCCTCAGGGTCGCGTGACTGCCGCCGCGGGGCCTGGGGAGCCTACCTGCAGGCTGCAGCTGCGCCAGCGCCGCCGAGTACATGCGGGCCGCCTCGGCGAACTGCCCGCTTTTGAACAGCTCGTTGCCCTGGCTCTTCAGGGCGGCGGGGCCCACCGGGGCCGCGGGGGGCGCGGCGGCTGCGGCG